GTAAGAACCATTTTAAACATTCTTGCAGAACTTCATTAATATAGTTTGTGTGTTCCTCCTCTTTTTGGAAACCAGAGTGGTCTTGTAAAAATTAACATTTCATATTGGCATATAGATGATCACAAGCCTATTGCAAACAACTTTCTAAAATTTTACTATCTGCTGAGAGAAAGCACTGGTCAATAATTGGTTATCAACTATGGGACTTTATTTCTATGGCATGATTTTTGTAACCTTGTGTAAATTTGGGAACATTTCTTGTAACACTGATGTGTTGCAAAATAACGTAATGTAACTTCTATAGAATGGATGAATTAGAACCGGCCCAGTTAAAAAATATCAAGGTTGCTTTAGTACTGTATCAGTTTTTTTGCCATTTGTCACTACTTTATTTACTGCTTAAGATTTGTTTCAACAAATCATAAAGCACAGCTTTATGCACATTTACACATCTAAGGAAAAAGAGGCATAATTTACGTACCTTTACAGTGCTCTTTTGATGGAATGTAAGTACAGTATTGTATACAGTACTATAATAAATACCATGTATGCAATACAGAATAAAGATTTTCATACAGTACTGTAATTTTCACTTGTGATAATTCAGTACAATGCTTTGTTTGTATATTACAAATAGTGTTACTGTAGTTCTGACACCAAACTCCTCTGCCAGCTGCTTTGACTCTGCAGACTCAATTATTTCCAAATACCCTGTATAGTAAATTGATCCATTTCTTCCATATTAAGATACCGCCTTGCCTTACCTGCTTTAGCCTCACTATTAGTGCTGCTGGACATCTTTTCTACTTACAAATGCTAAAATACTGAAGGAATAATGGATGATGATCCTCGAGTAATAGGTCATACTATGCAAGCACAGATGGGAAATAAATATGGTCAGGTCAAGTCCAGTTACAGTGCAGCCTCTGCACATTAAAGAAAACCACACATACATCCTGTATTATTCAATTTCTAGAAATAGTAGAGGGATAGTACAGTAATACTGTCTTTACCAAATTTTTTTTGTATTAATATTTACTCATGTTAAAAGTAAAACCTCTGGAAGAAAATTGAAATATGTGTATGCCTTTGACGTCGGTCTGTTGTACTGAGGCAACTTTATCTAATAGATACCTTATTCAGCTGTATCCTGGTTCCCCCAGTAGTTAATTCATTCTGCTCCACCAAGGGGTCTCGTTCAAGTGCAAACTATTTTATGGAGGATGCATTGTACAGTATATATTTGAGTCTGTCAATATTAGCTTTAATAATGAAGGACATGTTGTTGCATCTTGGACTAACAATTTTTAGAAACATTACAGTGCTAGTAATACCCTCAGGCAAGCAGGGAGTAAAGTCCATTTAGTCCATAATGGGTAGGCGAGTTAAAATAACTGTCTTTTTGCATGTTCTGGATTACTGGAGAGCAATTATCAATTAAGTGAAGTCTTTTGTGGGCAGATAAGCAGGATAAAGAGTTTAAGCCATTATCGGTTAGGTTGGTAATGAGTGTGGATGCCATAAAACTGTACGTCATTGAAAGAGTTAGCACCTAGTTTTATGAAGAATTGGTGTGCTGCTAAGGTACTGTTGATGATTTGTTGGAATAGTGATGCTAATTTTTCTGATGCTGTTTTCTGTATGATATAGTAAATGGATGGGTATACTGTATTTTAATATCTTTACCCCTTCTTGTCCTATACAATACTGTTCCTTCTTATTGTCTCCAAGTTAATGCCTTCCCATCCCTTGAAAATGGAAAATGGAAAAATTATATACAATAATATACAGTATAACAAATTTAGATTTATTTATTCCTAATATGCCCCTAATATACAGTACAGTACTGTATATTGAGGACCTATAATATATATGCTATTGTATACATAATGATTGTAAACACTTAAGCATCGCTGAGTGGGATTTACTGAGCCCGCTATGTTTACAGTTGGGCACGCACAGTTAGGAGCATAATTTATTACAAATACAATTTTGTTTTTGCATCTATGTTCATTTTCAATCAAACAGTTTGATACTACAGTTTTTGTCATAACCTAACAAATAACTTAAAGAAAACATAAAATGACTGAAAACATTTTTCATTTTACTGTAATGAGCAACCCATGACAATCCAGGGAACCCAGCACATTTACAGTCACGAATGCGCAGAAACGCCAGACTGACAAAATGTTGAGAGTGAATGAGGGATGAATTAAGTCAGTCATTAGATTGTAATTTACGAACAATGATTAAAAATATATGCTATGGGAAAATAGTAGGCAAGAGAACCAAGTTGTAGGTAACACAGGAGAGAAAACCTGTTGAAAGACGATGAGTAATCATGCAGGTCACTGACAACTATTGGCATTAAATTATTGTTTATACTGTACTTATAACAAAGGCAATGTAAATACTGTACTGTAATTGGGAAGATTTGTCGTTTATTTAATTGGAGAATACACATGAACATTCTCTGGGGCCTATGCACTTAATCTATTATATTTTATTGATAAATAAAGATTAAGTATTCTCTTTAACAGAGTTTAAATTTTCAAGAAATAGGAAGGCATTTGTTAAGGAGGCAAATTTCTGACAGAGGACAAAAGTTATCCAGTGACATAAGAAATGAAGAAGATAATAATAAAGAAAACTGTAAGACCTATTAGCCCATGCAAGGCAGCTCTTATTTATAAGAGTTTATTCAACCAAACTAATTCATATAAATGTCTAACCTTCACTTGAATCAATCCAGTGATCCTATGTCTGTTATTTTATATGGTAATTTGTTCCATAAAACATCAAACCCAATTTCCAAACCAATATTTACCCAGGTCTTTTCTGAATCAAAACTTATCCAAATTGTATCCATTGTTTCGCATCCCATTTTATTTGGTACTTTTAACAACTAATAGTATTCCTTTTTGTTATACCCATTCACCTATGTGTATACACATCAATCATATCACCCATTCCTCTTTGCTTTGATAATGTAAATTAAGCTTTTTTAATTAATTCTCTTCATAAGGGAGGTTTTTAATTCCTAGGTTTAACAGTGTTATCTTTCTCTGAACATGTTCAAGCGTACTAATGTCCATTCTATGTAGTGACAAAAAAATTACCTAAATTATCTAAATGGGGCTAAACAATGGCAAGATAAAACTGGAGAATAACATTAGATGTCTTATTGCCAACACTTCAAGATATGGATCCCAGCAGCCAATTTGCCTTATTCCATACTTATATACATTGATTTTTTTTTGCTTAAGAAACCAGCAAGCCACATAACAGAGGCTACAAGAATGGCCATCTGGGCCTAAAAACATTGAAGCTGCAAACGTCTGTCACTTACAGAAACAGATAGAAACACTATAACAACATGACCAAAAATTCACACAAACCAATAAACCCCACAGGGATGAAAGACACCAGCCAAGTGAACTGTCACACAGGCAGATAGGCATGCAGGGTGCAGGAAAGCATCTTTGTGAGGCAAACACAAACAGAAGAAGGGCCAGCATGATAGACAGGTTGTTAACATGAACAGGCCCCACAGAGGAGAACAAGTCTCATGCACAACCTAGAATACAGATGACTCGAGAGGAGTCAGCCTGTAAAGGAAGAAACTCACAACCCCTTAGAGCAGGTATCTCTGGTAGGGTATAGTAGATATCAAGTCAACCCACGGTAAGGAACCCTGGCAATGGTCGGAGAGAAATGGAGTCAGGATGCACTCTCGCTGGAACCCTGGGTGACCTGGGCTGCCATCTGTTGGTGGATGGGCCAATCAATGTTAGGGTGCTTGCCCCTTGACGATGATAATTTACTTAATTTACCTTGCAGTGCCTACTTTATTTCAAGCAGTTGCTTGTTTGTTGTGCCCATTGTTTCTAGATAAATTTGTTCTTTGTTTTGGGTCAATCTCTGATCACCAAGTTTCCACCCACCCCTTGCCTTGTAGAGTGAGCCTAGTTCTGGTCCTGAATTCCAATAATTAATGAACATGTCACAGAGGCCTGGTGTGTTGATCTAAAGCTTGGAAATTCCAGAGTTGAGCTTAGTGAGCTACCAAGGGTTCCCTTCCAGAAAATAGCAAAATGAAAACCTTGACTTGGAGGAGCTCTAATTTTTTTGGACGATTGAGACCCCACTGTATAGACTATATAAAATATATGTATAGAAACAGAAACTACTCTTTGTAATGGTCCATGAGTTTTAATACCACAGTATCTTTGAGTAAACATAAATAATATGTAACAAAAAAATACCATTTCTCAGTTCTATATATATACTCATATACACTCTCAAATAGCCCCCCTTAGATTTCATTCCAAAAACACAATGTTCAAAGTCCTAGTTGCATGACACTGTAAATACCATGCTACAATTGATATAGTGTACCTGATCCTAGGCAACTAATGGAAACCCTATAAACTGTTGCCACTCTGGAGACTTTCACATGGATAAGTCGCTATTCTATAGTTATGTTGAAGCAATCTATATTAGAATAGGATATATATATAAACAGTATAAATATAAACAGTATATACAGTGTATGTATATATATATGTGTATATATAAATATATAGTATGTGTAAAAATGCATTACTACAAAGATGTGCATTAAATTGTAAAGGGAAAGCAGGCATCATCCATTACTGAACAATTTAAATTGGCTAGTATATGGTAATTAAAACTAATTGTAAATAATTGCATAGATTTCATTCTTAATCATTACTTATGTGCAGCATGTTAACATTTGCATTAAATAGGGGGAAACACTGTTACGTATGCTTACTCTCGGTGCTAATATCTACAGCAAGTGTTATACGCATTAGCTATGGATGCTTCACTGTATAAGTATAAAAAAAATTATGAAATGCAGGGATCAAAACTAAAAAACAAAAACAAATGGTCCACAAGTCAATCCTTAAAAAGCTGTTGTTATATGTTAATACTGTACATCATTCAACCAGACTGACATTACCATCTCCCCTCCTCACCTCACAATTACTGCTAAATCTGAGTTGATACAACTGATAGAGTAAAAGTCATGGCCCAATGGATCGTATGATAAAAGCCCAAAAGACTGGAACTTTCGAGTTGAGGCACTATCTGGTGAAGCATCTCTACAGCTGGATCTCTGCAGAGCCTGAAAAATATGCCAGTGTTAAACATCTTCAACAAATTATAAACATTTCTAGGAAAACAAACCATTATTATTATATAAAAAAATCAGTTCATATATAAAACCTGTGTAAAAATCTATTAACAAAATCCCAATGTATATCTTAAGGCACATAGTTTCACAAGAAATATGATACACATACCTACAAACTACAGTACACAGTTACATCAGAGAAATGTCTTATTCAAGAAATTTTAACCCTTTGAGTATACCATGGCCTTTTTAAAGTTTTATGTTCATTATAGCTACTGTGCTTACATTATGGATGGTTTAAATTACTGTACCACTTTTCATGAAAAAAAAAACTGCACATTTAGTTAAGTAACCCAGCACCCAAATTATATTTGTAAAAGAATGGAAGATCTTCTTTATGGTATGTGCAGATTGCATGAAGGTTTCATCCTCCCAATGACTGTGGCTGAAAGATCTATTTTATAAGCATGCAATTATATATGTTGTACCTAATAGGCCAAGTTGCCTAACAAGCCAGGTTTTTCTGAAATTATATTTTTCTAAATTCTTTTCTTATGAAATGATAACGCTTTCCATTATATACTATGTGATTTTAATTGGTATTTTTTTCAATTTGAGTTAAAACTAACAAATTTGATCAAACGTAACCTGCCTAACCTAATCTAACCTATTCTAACCTATCCTAACCTAACATAACTAAGTCATTAATTCATGTTCTTAATATCATTTTATTAATTCCAATAAACCAATTTGAAAAGAAATATTTTAAAATACTGTAAAAAAAAAAAAAACACTGCCTGTTAGGCAAATTGAACCTTACATACTAGGCCAAGTAGTACATTCTGGCTATGTTTACCCCAAATATTTATATATATGCCATACCAACAAAGCACCAATCAGTTTGTCATAAAACATTTCAGAATATTCAACTGTCAGTTCATATATATCCACCTAACTAGGCAGTGCTGACTGTGGCAAAAAAGTATAATTTTTCGTGGTGCTTTAATTAGGTTATTACATCTTTGTTGTTTTATAATTGAATTATTATACCTTTATACCTCCCGCCTCACCCTTTGGCTTCATACTACCATCATACTCTTTGACTTCCTCCCTCTTGGCTCCCCTTACCCTCTTTCCTCAGCCTTGGCTCCCCTTGGCTTCCTCCTCCCCTCACACACACCTAATAATAGAACGTGTCGAGATTGTAGCTCATGCCTGAGCTTAAATCACAAGCTGCTATCTCTGTGAATTTACTGAAGCACCTACTTGACGTTTATTTGGGCTGACAAGACCTGGGTGGCTAACAATTCAAGCCAGGTTGTAAAGTAACACTACAAGAGGGGAAACATGCTGAACGCCTCACCAACCTCGGCTAATATTTTCCATCGCCGGCGAGCAACTGTGCTTTTGCTCTCACAGTTTTCATGGTTTGAGCCAGTCATCGTCAAGGTATAGTTCGTAAGGAGTCCTACAAAATATAAAATTATATATAAATATATATATTATATGACATAAATAACTAGACTAAATAGTCACAACTACGCTGCACTCTCAGGCGGACGGCGAACGTGAGGTACTGACTTGATCCTGAGCATCAGAGGGAGTCTTGTGACGTCATAGAGCTAAATATGACGTCACAGCTTTTAGCGCTTTCTATTTATTTATTATTTATTTATATATATATACAAGAAGGTACATTGGGATTGTGAGGATACATAGCATAGTAATAAAATTCTTGTAAAGTCACTAGTACACGCAGTGTTTAGGGCAAGTCCTTAATCTAAGAAACTTATAAGCAGGTAAATACTTGCAAAGTTTATAAAAATGATAACAGTTACATAGCATGAAAAAAAATAAGAGATGAGAGAAAAATTGTAGGTATATTAAAGCACATAGGTAGCTCAGAATGATTGCAATGACAGCTTGAATTGTAGTTTAACAAAACTTAGCAGGCACAATACAGCATATGGCTAGCTCCTATATCTTCATCCGAGCTGCATGGATATATACCTGAATTTACCTGAGGGCCACTAACATTCTAGTGGCTTCGACAAGGACAGGAAGCCGGCGGCTTGTCAAAGGTCCTCGACCATTTGTCCTGATGATATTTCCTCGTTAGATTGTAAAATTTAACAGTTTTGGCATTTACAGCTTTTGCGGATAGGCGGTTCCAATATATATATATATATATATATATATATATATATATATATATATATATATATATATATATATATATATATATATATATGTCGTACCTAATAGCCAGAACGCACTTCTCAGCCTACTATTCAAGGCCCGATTTGCCTAATAAGCCAAGTTTTCATGAATTAATGTTTTTTCGTCTACCTAACCTACCTAACCTAACCTAACCTAGCTTTTTTTGGCTACCTAACCTAACCTTACCTATAAATATAGGTTAGGTTAGGTTAGGTAGGGTTGGTTAGGTTCGGTCATATATCTACGTTAATTTTAACTCCAATAAAAAAAATTGACCTCATACATAGAGAAAAGGGTTGCTTTATCATTTCATAAGAAAAAAATTATAGTAAATATATTAATTCAGGAAAACTTGGCTTATTAGGCAAATCGGGCCTTGAATAGTAGGCTGAGAAGTGAGTTCTGGCTACTAGGTACGACATATATATATATATATATATATATATATATATATATATATATATATATATATATATATATATATATATATATATATATATATATATATATATATATATATATAAACTTAAGAATCAAAAGTCCCCTCTTTACCCATGTGTATAAAAATGAGAAAAAATTAATTTAGATACGATTGAAGGTAAACTTTTTATTCATTAAAAATACATAGTTTATATTCATGATTGTTACATGTAATATAAAGCATAAATAATAATTCGAGAAATAATGAAGTATAATAATAATAATAATAATTTATGTACAAGTAGGTATAATGGTTTTGTGAGATTACATAATATTAGTATTTTTACATATATGTAGCCTTAATTTATTTAATAAAATATTTAATAAAAAAGTAGCAAATGCGTCATAACATTCTCCGTTATATGCGAAAGAATGATGTAGGTAAACTCGACCTTGTGGAGCAAGGTCAGGAGATATCTAACATCACCAGCACAGCTTAGAGACAAATTATCACGTGTTGTTGACAGGCCAGCGAGTGATGCCAACACCCCCAGCAGGCAGCCTGTGTACAAGCTGGTTAAGTAAAACTTGCTGCCAACCCCATTAAATTAAACTATTATATGCGATGGACCAGCCAATGGGGAGGGAGGGAATTATGAGGGGCAAAGCGCTAAGCCATTGCGACTATATACCACTTGGAAGGGATCAGGATAAAGATCTGAGATGGGTCGGGGGGAAAGGAATGGTGCCCAACCACTTGGATGGTCGGTGAATTGAACGCCGACCTGTATGAAGCGAGACTGTCGCTCTACCGTCCAGTCAAGGTGGTTGGACCAGCTAATGGTACATTGTACACATTACACGACCAGCTTGAATTAAATTAAATTAGTTATTCAACTGCACTTTCAAGCCTCTGGCGAGCCTCCATCCCAGTAAGCACAGTGTCAAAGATCGACGTCGAATCAATGTTGATAACACTGATTCGACGTCGAACCAACGCCATTCTTGGATATTGTTCCCACTGGGATTTGTATCCCAGAATGGAGAACTCCACCTTCAACAAGCTCAACAAGCTGCTTTCGAGAACGTTCAACACAGGAGCGACATAATTTATTCCAAAAGCGACAAAAATTATTCCAGAATTATGTCAACTCGCATACCAGCAATGATTGACGGGTTTCCGTTCAGGGTTGACTAACAACTCTGCTAACCAGACATGACAGAGCTGATCTCATGGAGACCTTTGAAATACTTGACAAGTTGGATGATATTAATCCAGATCACTACCTTAAAATGGTCAAATGTAATGCATATGTGGGGACAACAGCTTCAAGCTCAACATGCCACAGTGTACGACACAACAGATGATTTTTTTTGTTTCGCCCATTACTACTACTGTTGTTGCTGCTACTAATTCGACTATTACAATTGCACTAGTATAATTCAATGTGTCGGGGGACAGGAAGCCAGAGTGTATTCATACACGTTAGGCTTTTATCGAAGTACCCCTCGGGTTGAATTACTGACCCCGCCCAGGAGGCAACCCCACAACAAGCTGACTAACTCCTGAGTACCTACTTGCTGCTAGGTGAACAGGTGAAATGAAAAAAAATATTATATAGCACTACACTACTACTATTAAACTTGTACTACTATTACTACCAGTTATACTAAATACTACACTACTACTAAATAGTGTTATTATATTGTATACTTATTAGCATGTACCTAAAGGAGAGTAATATATATATAACTGCAGTCAATCTCTATGAAGCTTTAAGAATAGACTATATGTTGCTGTACTGTAGAGTAAACTGACGAGTTTACTTAAAATATTCAAATAACCATTCAAGAGATTTAACTGTTTTACTTGTGTGTATATTGAGTACCTTGTCTCAAAATATAGCACTGGCATGTTAATGATTAATTGATAAACAAATCGAAAAGTAGATACTGTAAATGACGTCTTGCTTACAGAAAATTGATCGTTTGCGTAACACACATCAAACCACAAACCTGACGTCATTTATCAGTGACGTCATTCTTCATCTGGCGCTTAGGAAAAAGAGTCTCTACGAGAATGTAAACAAAGGTATATTTTCTTTTTAATTTTGCCCAGAGAAAGCCGGGTGTTCACTGAATAGCGTCAGTTATCCTGCGGATAAATATTACACCGCCGTAACAGAATGCATAACAACCTCCAATAGCCCTAGTGGCTTTAGGTATTGTATGTACTAGCTCTATCTATAAATCCAACATTATGTTTGTAAATCAACTATGTATGTACTTTCCTGAATAAAATTTACTTTACTTGACTTTAGGAGGAAAAGCCGCTGGGTTGTTCGTCCTGTCCCTTGTACCCAGAGCCAGCTAGGACTCAATTAACTGCTAACAAGGGTATTATCTACCCTGAAACTTGACTTACTCGAATACGCCGGGGAAATCTTTAAAGAAGAGCGCAAATGGTCCCTTCTCGACTCACAATCGGGAATTCTAGCTTCAAATCCCGGACGGGACAAATGGTTGGGCGTATTTCCAATCACCTAATGCTGCTGTTAGTTCATCATTTCTGTAAATTTGCTATTTGGGCGACACGATCACCAGACATGCGGCCCATCAGTTAAGAGCGGGCAGCACCCACATTCCGGAGGGCAGTGTGCAGCAGGGAGCGACAAGGGAATTGCCATTTGGAAGGGGTCAAGATAAGGATTTGGGATGGGACGGGTGGAAGGAATGGTGCCCAACTACTTGGACGGTCGGGGATTGAACGCCGACCTGCATGAAGCAAGACCGTCGCTCTACAATCCAGCCCAAGTGGTTGGGCAACAAGAGGTCTAAGGAAGAATACAAAGGGCGGCAGTGTCGCTGGATTGGGTTAAGGGGGGTTGGGTGTAGTATCCTATGTTGGTGAGAGCTAAAACTTCTCCACTTCTGCCAGACGCTCCACTGGGCTGGTTGCTGGCCCACTTGCCACTCAGGTCAATTTGGTTATTAGAACTATCCCTCAGGATGGAGTCAGTGCCCACAAACCCATCCAAGAACACCACCATCGCGAAGCTGGAGATGTGTTTTATTGTCTCGACGACCAGAGGAGGCTTCAGAAGAGTTCCCCCCGGACTTTTGGCACACTGGGCCGTGGCATTTCTGTCATAGAAAAGATAATGAATTATAAAATAATATGTACATATTTCTAATGGTTAATACACATAATAAAATAAATAAAGATATGAAGACTATAATATCAATGCATAATCTTAAATTCTCGGTAAAAAATAAAGCTGGGTGATGCTCACTTCCATGTTAAAACATTGGGGAGGTAGATAAGTCGGACGCCCCCAACGTTGGTGGTGATGTAGGTGTGGAGGCCTGTGGTGGGGGTGTTCTTGTAGCCCGGCAGCTGTGACAACAGTACGCACTCCACACTCTGACAAACACGACACATGCTCAATAAAGTTAACCTCATGAGTGCACTAATGGAAGCAAATATCTAACAAAATATGTTTGATGAATCTTAAGTGAGGATGCAATCTAGCCTTTTGGGAGGTTGGAAGATGGTACCAAAGAGGGGCATGGAGTTCAACCTCGAGTCTCTAGCTATGATCACCCCGTAGCATTTGCGTTCTGTCTTCTGACTGTAAAGGCTGATGCTCTGGTAAGCACTATGCTGCGATACAGGCAATAAGAGTAAACACCAGTCCCTCTATCACCCCGAGACCCAGAGGCCGTGCGTATCTGGCGGTCGGTGGGGAACAGTGTGCCTCCCGAAGCGGCAAGGAGATACAGGCAAAACAAAAATAATAAGGCAAACATTACACAAAACAGTACCTGTCTCTCCTGCCAGATGAAGGCTTGACACCCGGTCTGAGTGTCACAGGCGTGGGCGCACAGCACTAGACTGGCCTTGGCGCCAGAAAAGTTAGTCTGCTGAGCGCTGGGCAGGCCGTAGGGCAGGAGGACGTACTGTTTCAGCACTGACCCCCACGTCCCTTCCACCAGCAACCACCACCACCACAGCCCCGTCACCCATGACACATCCTTCATGCTGCTTATCTGCAACACACGAGAAAGAAGACCTCATGCAGATAGATCAATTGGAAGAGAGCGATGATGTAAACATGTATCTTAACCTAGAGCAAACATGCACGCATGCGTACTGTGAGCTATCAAGGTGATTTTATGTAAATTCTATATATTTATTGGATATCAAGTTTTGTCGAATAAATATTTACTTTAGTTTTGATGTTTTAGTGTCTAGACACTGGTGTAACTACACATGAATGGCGACATAGATCACAAGAGAACGCTCAACCTGTGAAACGCATCCACTAGGGATAAATGTATTATTCTCTGAAGGAAAGTTATAGCATAACTATTACGGGCAGTGCTCTAGAGCTGAAGCTACATAACCTTGCCTAGGAGCTGAAGCTAAAAGGCAGAGTTTAGGAGCTGAATATGATTGACAGGGTCAAGGAAGTGAAGTTAGGAACCTGGCCCAAGAGCCGAAGTTAAGAGGCAAGAGCTAAGAGACAGTGGCTTGAGGTAAAACTAAACGGCAAGACCCAAACGCTGGAACTAAGAGTGAAGTCCCTAGTGCAAGAGTTAAGGTATAGGAAACATGAGCTAGAACTGAGAGTAAAGACCTAGGGGCTGGAACTAAGAGGTAGGGGCCCCATATGGAGCTGAGTTTAGAGGTGGGGCCAATAGGAGCTGAAGGTAAGAGGCAGCCAAGGAGAGGAAACTAAGAGGCAGTCAAGGAGAGGAAACTAAGAGGCAGACAATAAGAACGCAATATAAGTGGCAACTATATATAGCATAAATATTGTCACACGGGGAGACAACTATGCCCCTCAGTCCCGTAGTTCTAACTCAGCCATGCATATCTACGGCTATTTTGCCCAATCTTCAAATCATTCATTTAAATCCCCAGAAAATTTGAGGATGCCACATGGTCGGGAAACAAATGAACTATGACAGAGATCAAAATATATATTTGCTTGTGTGGCCACCAGAAATGTAAAATGAATCATATTTATATATAAACAAATGCAGCAACAAAGGAAGGAAAGCACTTGAGGGAAGAGCAGGGAGACACAACCTTACCTCCTGGGACCGGCCGGAGTACTGAAGAATGATAACTACTTCGTTACCAGCTCACTTTGCAACTCGATGAAAAAAATGACAAGATATATAGTTTGTTATTAAGAGCTGTTTCTTCCGTCACAATGATATATGATTCCCAAGCGCTGTCCACTCAGCTGTCAGGTAACAGTTAATTAAACTAATTTTTAATTACATAAATAATTTTCGTTGGAATTAGAAGCACCGACACTAACACGTCCTTAGCAGGTCAGCGTTCAATCCCCCGACCGTCCAAATGTTTGGGTACCACTACTTGCGCCCAGTTGGGTGGGTTGTGAAGCAAGATTAGCTTGAATGGTCCCCCAAGCTAACATGCATTAGAAAACTCTTGACCTCCTGAAGGATTCGAACCAGGTCAGCCAGGGCCTTGGTGTGTCCAGTACTATAATCCCTCGGACAGACTGACTGTACAAAAAGGTATTGAAAGCCGTTTGACCCTTAACCCACTACCCGACAGCTCTCGCTGACCACTTTGGGCACAGATATTTCATCAAATCACTTCATCATATGTATGTATATATATGTACATGTGTATGTAATACTGTATTAACAATTGTGTAACTAGCTTCACAAGACTAGCACTTGCTTAGCTAAACGAACTATAGGGTTCAGTTCCTGAACCATTTATGTGCCTCTGTAACCCTTTCCACCACCGCCCATGGGATGGATATGGGGTGCATAATAAAATTAAATGGAAAAAATCCCTCTCCTATCCCATATCCTTATCCTCATATCCCTTCCAAGTGATATATAGTCGTAATGGCTTTGCGCTTTCTCGTGATGATTACCTTATCATTGTGATTAGATGTTGGGCTTAAGGCCTATTAACCTCTGGAGGATTGTTAAGTCAACCACAGGAACTTACTGACCAATCAACAAGTACAGTATACTTAGTTCTGACCATAATCCCGAGCTAAGGTAAACTCTCAGTACACTTCTCTGTAAGTATATTCCTTTAATTGACTCTCACTGGATAACTGTATTTTATTATTGGCTATAACCTGGTTATAACCTGATAGCACCGAAGTTGAGCTATGACTTGGAACAAAGAACCGGAATGATTAATACAACTTTGTTAATATTGAATTAGGACACTATTTTATACTTTGAAAGGTTAATCAGTAGTATATTATAAGCAGAAGAATATGATGGATGACACACTGGCAGGTAATTTGTGTCGTCAACTAAATAACACGTCCTGACCACCCTGCTCGCTCACAATTGATTAGTTTCCGACATAAAAGGCTGTAATCAACGATGTCATTCAGAGGGTATTGGGGTAACAAAATCACACATCCAGGGCACCCACGGGATGGGTAGGATTCCAGTACATGCCTTAAAACACCACTGAAAACGAACTTATCTAAAAATGAACTTTATAATTGGATAAAATTGGGTGAAGCTATGAGGCTTACCAATGCTTGGCAGATTCCTTGGTGAAGTTAAAAGTTCCATTTCCTTTTTTTAGTGACGCCACAGTTGCCAGGTCTAAATTGCTGAAAGTAGCGAGCTGACGGTCTAAAAGTAGCGAATTTGTGATAAGAGTAGCCCAATTTTTTTAGTGAATGATATGGGTTTCAAAGTAATATATTTTGATATATAGAGTACACTACACGATGTTAATTGTTTTATTAATATTATTTCTGCACATATATATATATATATATATATATATATATATATATATATATATATATATATATATATATATATATATATATATATATATATATATATATATATATTAAATATGACCGAAAAAGTAAGATTAATAATTCTAACACGAATTTTCTCAATCTTTCGTACATTACGCTTCACTGTTGGAGGTAAATCAAAAATCACTTCTCCAAAATTCATTTTTATTTCTAGTCTGACGCGACACGGGCGCGTTTCGTAAAACTTATTACATTTTCAAAGACTTCACAAATACACAACTGATTAGAACTTACGTATCTCTGATTTTATATCTACATTTGAGTGAGGTGGGAGGGGTGATGTGGCATTAACACAAGACAGAACAAGAGGGGATATTAATAGGGTATTAAAAGTATCAACACAAGACAGAACAGAAACAATGGGTATTGAATAGAAGTGTTTGTAGAAAGCCTATTGGTCCATATTTCTTGATGCTTCTATATTGGAGCGGAGTCTTGAGGTGGGTAGAATATAGTTGTGCAATAATTGGCTGTTGATTGCTGGTGTTGACTTCTTGATGTGTAGTGCCTCGCAAACGTCAAGCCGCCTGCTATCGCTGTATCTATCGATGATTTCTGTGTTGTTTACTAGGATTTCTCTGGCGATGGTTTGGTTATGGGAAGAGATTATATGTTCCTTAATGGAGCCCTGTTGCTTATGCATCGTTAAACGCCTAGAAAGAGATGTTGTTGTCTTGCCTATATACTGGTTTTTTGGAGCTTACAGTCCCCAAGTGGGCATTTGAAGGCATAGACGACGTTAGTCTCTTTTAAAGCGTTCTGTTTTGTGTCTGGAGAGTTTCTCATGAGTAGGCTGGCCGTTTTTCTGGTTTTATAGTAAATCGTCAGTTGTATCCTCTGATTTTTGTCTGTAGGGATAACGTTTCTATTAATCTTTAATTTGGCACCTTTGTGGCACCTTTGTGAGACCTTGGTATAAGCCTAACATGTATATATACACTGGCTGCCTGTCCCCCTACACAATGATTTATAACTATTTTTTATCATTTAATTTAAATATTAAATAAAATAAGTTATTTAATTATTATAGTAAGTACTTAATAATTTAATAATAAGTAGTAAGTACATAAAAATGATTAAAAAGTACAGTTTAGTTATAGGAGATTCCTAGATTGGAATTCACTACCAAATTTCAATATATCCAAGTATATTTAGTGTTAAATGCTATTATTATATGCATAAATTGTTGTTTTAATAATATTACGCTTAACCACTTTGGCTGGACGGTAGAGCGACGGTCTCGTTTCCTACAGGTCCGCTTTCAATCCCCGACCGCCCAAGAGGTTGGGCACCATTCCTTTCCCCCGTTCCATCCCAAATCCGTATCCTGACCCCTTCCGAGTGCTATATAGTCGTAATGGCTTGGCGCTTTCTCTTGATAGTTCCCCACCCCCTGAATAATGTTACGAGAGCAGTATTTACGGGCTATTCATGCCCGTGCCACCTCTTGGGTGGCTTAATCTTCATCAGTCGAGAGCAGTACGTCCTAACCAGACGTTCTATGATGATATCCTCCTGAACAGTTGATAAATAAAAATAATTGCAGAACTCCAGTTATCTAATACTTATCATAAATGGTATAAAACCTTATCATAAGCCAAGGGATTTGTAGATCAGTGTTTAAAGGGAATTCGGAAGTAATAATAACAGCTGATGCCATCTGTCGGCAGAAGAGAACACTATCAACTGGCTGGTCAACAGTGGCCATAAGGTACAGCTTACGCCATCTGTTGACATCAAATTACACTTATAACAAATCACCCTACAAAATACAACTAACGCCATCTGTTTTTTTCCAACGCACTATAAATAGCCAAACAGCAACCCATAAGGCGGGTTGTTGTGCTCGGGTAGGAGGTTCCAAGCTCCGCCCACAGATGGTATGGGTAGTGCCTAATAATCCCTTTGAGAATTTATGGCATATACTTGAATTGGTAGCATAATAAAAAAATAATGGCTTTGTTGACATTCACACAACAGCCAATCACAGGAAGGGATCAGCTATAGGTGCCATCCACTTAGTAAATCATCTTAGTTCAGCCCACCAGTCCTGCTTATGGAATTCTGCTTTAACTTTAATTTACCCCAAAAAAGTGAAGTGTTAATTATTTAGTGTTAATAAAGTGATAATTAAATATTGCAGGATATAACAGATGTTATATAAAAATGGGCTGGCTACCTAACTTGTGACGTTAT